TTGAGCTCCTCTTTTCGACCGCGAGTCCTAAAATCCAACAAACAGGACAAGTGTTCGGTGCTAATCTCAACACCATGCTCTCTGCCCAACACATAGACGCTGATAAGATGCCTCAGACCCCTAGGGTTAATCTGAGCAAGAGAAGCATTGTTCGCCGCTAGAAAACGAAGAAGGAACCCGGGCACCGGAAACCAGAGCAGGCACTGGTCAAAGAAGTTCTCATACAAAGTGAAGTACCCCAGAGGAGGGGCATCGGCTCTGTCAGTAGAGTCGGGAACAACTAGCGCAATGTCCTCTGAAATCCTGCATTTCTCGCGAAGAAGTTGGAGTGACTCCGCATCCGAGAGGGTAGACCCTGGGGGGTTCAGGCAAATCGTCGCCCTTCGCTTCTTCTTAGTCATTATCGTTTGTTCAACCTCAACAAGCATATCATCATCATCTCTCTCGACACTGTGAGCTCGTGAGTCAAGCGAAGAGGAAGAAAGCGATGCGTCGGCAGAGCCAGGCGGAAGCTTCGGATCCTCATCATTCAGAAAAGTCAAGTCACCAATCTCCTCATGACGAAGTATCGAGTCTTCATCATCAATAAACCTCATCAGGTCCTCATCGCCAGTAAGAGTCTTCGGGTTAGTAGACGCGAAGTCCGCTAGATTTACGGAGACGTCGGTGTCAACATCATCGGTTCCGCGAAGATGGTCCCGTGAGAAAACGAGTTTGTTGTGATGACGAGTCCCCGGAGTCACGTTTTCGAGATGTGACCATACCAGCTTCGTCGAGACATCGGTGCGTTGAAACGAAGGCATCGGGTCTCCATCGCCTTCGTAAGCTTCGGGTGAATACGTCGAATCTTCGATGGCACGACAGTCCTCGGGTCCTCGGGTCTTCGGTGCAGCGATAGTCCTCGGGTCCTTGGTGGATCGAGCTTCGGACCGAGCGACCGAAGACATCGGAGCTTCGGACCGAGCGACCGAAGACATCGGAGCTTCAGACCGAGCCACCGAAGTCGTTGGTGCTTCAGACCGAGCGACCGAAGACATCGGGCCTTCGGACCGAGCAACCGACGACATCGGGCCTTCGGACCGAGCAGCTGAAGACATCGCACCTTCGGACCGAGCAGCTGAAGACATCGCGCCTTCAGACCGAGCAGCTGAAGACATCGCGCCTTCGGACTGAGCAACCGACGACATCGGGGCTTCGGACCGAGATGCCCGAGTTGTCGAGTCCGGAATCTCGCCGGAGGTAGCAACGCGGCGGTCATCGGCACCGCCGTGGCTATCAGTTCCGCTTCGCTTCGAGCCATCAATTTCTTCCTTGCCCATAACCTCAAATTTACCTAGATCAAACTACTTTCATTGCCAACACTCCTAGAATTGAACGGATTCGAATCATCTTACGGATCTACACAAATCAAGCTTGATGAGCAACAACAAGCAAGGATTCGAAGACCCCCTTTTCAGTTAACAACAACTAAGGTTGTTCTCCATGGAAATCTAGATCTCTAAGTTTAGAGTTCTCGAAGGGGATTTGTGCAATCTAGGAGATTTGTGTAAAGGAAATCAACAAGAATACTCACCAAAAGGAAAAAACGACCAAACGGCGGTACGAAACGCTACGATAGCGGCGGCGGAAGAAGTCCTCGTCGGCGGCAGCAGCGGAAGTCCTCGGCAACTACG